GGCTGCGATGATGGGCTCAAGTATAGCAGGGATTGTGGGGCTGGCGCGGGCTTGGGCAGTGTTTCGTTCTGCTGTGCATGGGGTCACTATGAGTCGGAAACGACTCGATGGCACTTAACAACAACAACAACACGTGGCAGTAAAAGAAATATTGTTATGTCCAACCTTAATAGTAATTACTTCCAGGGGATACAGTGTTGAGAAGGCAAGGAGTCTGGGTAGCCCTTTCCCTTTTAAATTGTTTTTTACAATATTTAAAACAAAGGAAAAACTTTCTAACCCTCTTCTCTAAACCCATTTTCCCCATCCCAGACCACTCTATCCCTTACCCCAGAATCTTGGCACAGTCATCATAGTATTTCATTGAGTTCTTGACAAAACTGAAGCCATTGACATCACACACAAAGGAATGGCCATTGGCACGAAGAAGGTCAAATCCACAAACTGTTTGCTGCAGGAAAAAAGGGCAAGATGAGAACAAGAGGGGCCTCTCTTTCCAGACCTCCCCCCTTCTTTTTAGTTTTTTAATAATCTTTTATTTTTATTGTGATTTTGGTGAAAGTTTACAGAGCGAATTCATTTTCCATACAGCAGTTCACATACATTTTGTCTCATGACACTGACTACAATTCCCCACAATGTAACAGCTTTCTTCCCACTTCCTCCCTGTAGTTACCTCTTCCCTGTGTCCTTCTTTCCTATGCATTTCTGCCTGTGCCCCTCCCTAAAGCTATCTCCCTGTGCAAAGAGTGCCCTTCTGTTCTCCCATGATTGATCGTTCTCAGGAATGTATCTACCTACCTGATGTAAATGTTCACCCTATATGCCTATCTGTTGTTTGTCTGAAGCCTTGGGAATGAGTTCAATTCCAGACCTAAAGGGTAACTAAGGGCCATAGTCTCGGGACTCTCACCAGGCTCTATAAGATCAGTAAACCTGGTCTTTTTTGATTTTGAGATCTGTTCCACACTGTTCTCCCACTCTATCCAGGATCTCCTGCACTAATCCCTTTCTAAGTAGTTGACAGTGGTAGCCAGGCACCATCTAGACCTTCTGGTCTCATGGTCATATAGGCTCAGGTTCACAGGGTCCACTGGTCCTTTGGACTATCCAGACCCCTATCTTGTCTCTCTCTCTCTCATTCTACAAACCTCCGTGGGCTCTCCTGTACCTTAAAAGCTACACAGACTTTCCTGGCCACCAGCTTTTCCATGGCAGTCAGCATGACTGGATACCGAATCTCTTTCCCTTCACTGTCTCGTTCAACCTTCCCGTCCAAAGCTGGAGATTTTCTGGCTTCAGCATGGGCATAATCTGGCCCCACTGTATACACCTGCAGGTACATAGCATCACTCAGTATGCCCACAGTTCACCCTGTATACGAGAAGACAATATGAGCACTAGGTCTATACACTGGTTTCAGAATTAAAAAACAAAACAGTGTTAAGAATAAGAGTAATGGTTTTCCTACTGAGCTCTACTGAAGCATAAGGTTTTCTCTTTGGAACTCCAGCACTATCATCTAGTCTCTGTTAAGAAATAACTTACTATACATTTTCTATGTGATCCTTGCCCATTCTCTGATAGTGATAATGTGAATGCCAACATCCCCCACCCCACTCTTTATCTTCATCTGAATATGAAAGCCATTCATTCACAGGTTGTTTCTATGACCTCCTCCATATACTCCCATCTGCTTCCCAAGCACCCCATCCCCATTTGTAACCTCTTAAATCCCTATATCCACCATAACCTTGACATCTGTGCCATCTGTCGGCATAAACTCTTCATAGATATATGACCCTGTTTTTCGGACACTGCTCTCAGGAGAGTAAACGCTGCTTCGGCTGCCAATCTTCAAGAGAAAGGAGAAAAAATCTTGTTGCCTCAACCCTCCACCTTGTCTTCACATCCTCCAGCTTCCCTCCCTACAACTTTATCCTTGTTCTTCTACCTCTTTGATTCCCCAAAGGCTCACATGCCCCCACACCTTACGGAAGAGGCGCTGACTTCCTCCTCCAGCTGAACTGGGGTAGTAGATGTAAACATTGTGGTCCTCTGCACTCACTGGCTTCTCCACAAAGGGCTTGGGAAAGACAGCTCCATTTACCTCTACCTGGTCTTCACCTTCTATCAGGTTGCATTCTGAAAGGTGGGTGTGTGGTCATTCCGAGGGCCAAGGGTTAGAAAATACTTCCAACCTCCATTTCCCCAGGGTTTTAATCTCTGTAACCTCAAACTTCTATTATCTCATCTTGGTAATAGGAATAGCAATATTTATATTATTGGTTCTAAGGCTCTGTCTAAAGACCCGTGACTCTAACCCTACCCATAATCCAGTATCCAAAGTCCCACTTAGGTGGTACAAAGGAGGTGTCTAGAGGATGAAGCACTGGCTAAGGCCTAGACAGCAAGGCAGGGTAGGAGTAGACAAAGCCAGGTACTCACCCTCCGGCCGGGCAGGGTCACGGTTGAGCACAGCATATCGAGGCAGATCAATACCCTCCTCCTGCAGAATCCGGTACACCTCCCTCCTGTCACCCCCAAATAAATTAGCTGGAAGGCGGGGGTAAAAACTAAAGGGAAGGGCTAGAGATTCCATTTATATAGGGGTTGAAAGACACCAGGGTCCAGACCCAAGAAAGTAGGGTACAAAATTTAAGCAAGTTTGTTTGACTCTGCTTCTCCCAGAATAAGTGTCCTACAGACATTTGGGAGAGAATGAGGCATGATCCCAGGCCACCCATCCCACTGGTTAAGAGAAAGATGTACCTATCTTGGATGTAATACTGCATGGCCAAGTCATTGATAAGAAAGGGATTCCGAAGCTTAGAGTAAGCAACAGCCTTGTCCAGAGGAAAGCCTGGGATGGGGAAAGAAAATAGGGAGGCCAAAAAGAGTGAAAGAGAGTGAGAACATATCAAACATAGTATCGTTATTAGTTGCCACTGAGCTACTCCATCCATCCAACTTCATCACTATCCTTCTGTCTAAGTTCCCAAAAGCCTAGGCTATCCATCAGGAAAAAGTAGAAAAATTATTTTTAAGGTCTTCCAGAGACCTAATTCCATCAAAGACCTTAAGAGCCTTAGAGCTGTCCTAAGGTTAGAACATGGGCTATAAACTACCTCCAGCAACTCTTCTAAGATGAAGGGAAAGCAAACGCCTTTGCACTGTTCTCAAGTGTGTTAGGAAGAGTTGTTGGCCTCTTTACTAAGGATACACAACAGTAAGAACCTCATTTCCCACTCCAGCATTTCCAACACCATCCCTTCCCATTTTCCCTCCCAGACCCCAACCTTTGGAGTGGAAAGAGATGAGGCAGTGGCAAGATGGCCAGTTTTCCACAGGTTCATTGAGAATCACATCTTCTCCCAGAATGATAACAGTCAGGTAGTCAAATCGGCAGAGTCGTTCTAGGATTTGAGTCATTGGCTTGGACTTAGATTTCTTGGTCATGGCACAGATGCCAACAATGATCTGTGGTTCAGGAGGCTACAGGAAGGAAGTGTTGTCAGGAACTCAGGAACTTCCTACCTATACCACCCCCCATCAGGGAACACTGTCTCATCTTAGGGAACAGAGATTTTTGCCAGGACTTCAGACCTGTAGGGTAAAGATGGCCTTCTGATTTTGGTCTGGGTTGGAGCACATGCATGGTTTTCTATTGTCTACAGAATAGGAGCCTTTCCACAGTACAAATATGTGTATTCAGGCCGAAGAGCCAAAGAACCAATAATCATGAGATGATATAAGAAGGCACAAGGACAGGGGCTTTGCAGAGATCTAACCAATCTCCAATGCCCCTCCCTTAAATCAGAAAAAGGGACTGTTTATGATAGAATCCATGCATTTGGGAAGAAGAGAAAAATGTCTTCATTCAATGGAATCCCAACTCTCTGTCAAAAGGGCCCATCACCAAGTTATATCATTTCCCTAGTCTTACCACTTCATCCTCCTCATCCTCAAGGAGCTCGCTGTCACTTTCTTCTGTCCTCATGCCTATTCCACAGGTGCCCAGACCCTCATCTCCAGCTCCAAGGAAGAAGTGGGCCGTGGCGCTCTCGCCCTCACTGGCCGGCAATGACCACATCCCCGCCGAAGTACCCACTCATCCCGCTCTGTGGAGGGGAGCACCCCATCAGCCCAAAATCTAAGCCCCATGTTGGTGGGTAGGGGATGGGGTAGGTGAGTAGGAACTATGAGGGGACTAGGGGATAGAGGGGACAAAGCTATAGAAGAAGAATCAACAGGAAAGGGGCAAATGGACTTGATTGGAAATGACTAAAGATTCATAAGAGAAAAGCAAGGTCTCCCCTTTTCACCCTGCTCACCCCACCTCCAACCATGAGACTGGTAAGTAGAAAAGGACGTTAACCCTTACAATGCTGGCATGTCCCTGATTCTGCCAGCAGGAAACAATTTCAACTCCAGCAGCAAATGGAAGAGACAGTTCCTCATGGAAGTAGATTCCTACCAGAAAAGAAGGTTAGAGTAACATCTCAAACTTTGGATTTATACTAAAACTTTCCTAGCCCTTCTCTACCTCCCCACAGTAAACACAGAGATTTAATTAAAGAGCAGAGGAATGAGAGGCTCAACTTCCTTTACCCTTAACATCTGTCTTCATTCCTCCTAAGGAGTACTCAAAAAACACTTCTTGAGGGCACTTTATGTTCTAAGCATTTTATCAGAACATTAAGATTCCCTATGTCCCCCCTCTCTCCTTAAAATTCCCCATGCTCCCCTCCACCTTAAGAGACCGATGCTCAAGTTGAGAAAATCTGTTCAAGGAAGGAGATCAAGTGCTGATTGGGAGGCTGAGGAAATGGGCATCCATACTACAGTCTCTAACTCATTCTCAGACTGAAATATCAATGTACTCTCTACCATACCCTGGTACTACAGACCCAACACTGACCTAGGTCAAGGTCCCTCAGTTAAAAAGGATTCTGCATAATGCCATAATCAGTAAAAATACCTTAAGACTTTAACTTGAGTCAGAACAACCTAGCAGTTCCACTTCTGGATATACATCTACAGTAGTAATCCTCAAATGACTATGATTTTGTCCCCCAGGGGATGTCTGGCAGGGGATACTTTTGATTTTCACAACTGGGGAAACACTATTGATATCTAGTAGGTAGAGGTCAGGGATGCTGCTAAACATTCTGAAATGCATAGGACATCTCCTCATAAAGAATTATCCAGCCCATAATGTCAGCAGTGCCCAGGTTAAGAAACCCTGGCCTAGAGAAACTCTCCCACATAAGAAGACATGTACAAGGATGTTCACAATCTCACTGCTGGTAATGGAAAAAACCTCAAACAACACAGCCATCATGAGTAAAATAATAAATACAATTAAGAATACACAAATGACAGAATAGCAATTTTATAGAATTGTTGTTGTTGTTGTGCTGTCAAGTCGGACCCGACTTATAGCGACCCCTCCTTGGGTTGCTGAGGCAGTATCACTACGGAAGTAAATTGCCCCATCTTCCTTCCGAGGAGTGGCTGGTGGGTTTGAACTGCCAGCCTTCTGTTTAGCAGTCCAGTGCCTTAGGCACTATGCTACCAGAGCTCCTATTTTACAGAATTAGTCAGAGCTATATTTAATACACACAGCTTCTAAATGCAAACGGCAAAGATACATACATGCAGGGCAATTCCATTTGTATAAAAACGGAAACATTATATATTATTTATGACTCCATACATAAGTAGTGGAAGTATGAAAACATGGACTAGAAAGAAAAACATCAAATTTATAATAGTGATTACCACTGAAGAGAAGAAAGAATGGAACTGCGGAAGATTCAAATGGTACTTCACAACCTTATCTATGTTTATTTCTATTTTTAAAAAGACCTAAAGCCAATATATAAAAGGTCAAAATTTGTCAATACTGAATTGTGTCTGCTATTATTTTCCAAAAATAAAATTGAGTCACACATCAGCAATGGTCTATGGTCTCCAGAAGTTTTCAGAAATACTGACAGATCACTTTGTAATGAAAGCTACAAACTCCTTAAATAAATGGAGTGATTGATTTAAAGTCTTACAGACTTTCAAAAATAGTCTTCAATAATTATTTTCTCTATTTTGATTTAAAACCCTTCCATTACAAATGAGATTTGCAGCTTTGATTAGAAAGTTACAGTTGACCTTGATACAGACCTCGAGCTTTCCAGTCTTCATGTGTTCTCTTCACTGCTCAACCTCCATCGGGGGGCAGCATTCTCCTTAGGCTTAACATTTCAGTTGTGCACTGCAGGTCTAATACATAGACTCCCCCTCCTGATAAACAGGCTAGTTCTTTGAATTCCTCTTTAGTGACCTGATCTGATTTCCCTTACTTGTGGCATTTCCAAGATCCCTGCAAAGCTTAAGTAATTCAAATTTTGTTATACTCTATCCTTTCTCTGAAGCAGGAGCTTTCTCTTGTGTCTGATATTCCTACCCTTTGCCCTTTCTTCTATTATGTCCTTCCTGGTTTTCATTTCAGTCATGTTCCTGAAATTCTATTATAATCATAATAATGAAAGATAGTAAGAAATAGGATGGGGCAGGAGAGTCTGTTCACAAATGGGGCTGAAGAGAGAATAAAGGTTTAAATTCATAGTTAACAAAGCAAAAATAGAAGCCTGACAGAAATAGCTATGAAAAAAAGCCAGGATTTATTTAGATGTACCTCTGGGAGAAGTTGGGGTTTGATGTGATGTTCCCAGAGGCACTTCCCTGTTTTCTCTTCTCTTCTTACCTTCCCCCTTTACCCCAATACTTCATTTAGAAAGAAAAACCTCAGACTCTACTCTAGGCTAAAGGGCAGTTTTACTCAGGCCAGAATCAATGTTGAAGAAAGGAAGGAAAGGAAGGAGAGAAGGAAGCAAACAAGGCAGGCAGGAGGCAGGCAGGTAGGAGAGGGAGGAAGAAGCAGGCAAGTAATTTTCTCAGGAATATCTAAGTTGAATCAGATATAAAGAAGGAGTAATAGGGAAGATAAAAGTGACTTCCTCTGTGTAACTTCATTATTCCTTAGACTTTAGGGCTGCTTGCAGTAGTCCTCTAATTTCCCAAATCACCATGCACTTGATGGAGGGCTCCATCAGTGGCAGAGGAAAAAGATCAACATAAATTCCAGGCAGGAATACTTCCAAAGTTCCTCAGGCCATCAACACTATCTCCTTCCTAATGATTCAGTAGTGGTCCTCTCACTTCCTTCTTGTTGCGATTTCTAATCCCTCATGCTAAGCTCGTTGCTGTGTTGCTGTTGAGTGGATTCCGACTCAATGACCCTACAGGACTGAGTAGAACTGTGCCATAGGATTTTCCAAGGCTATACGCTTCACAGAAGCAGACTGACACATCTTTCTCCTGCTAGGAGAGGGGGGTGCGTTTGAACCTTTTGGTTAGCAGCCAACCAATTGCTTAACCACTGTGCCACCAGGGCTCCCCAGCAACCCTATCTCACTGCCATCAAGTAGATCTCCGACTCAGAGCGACCCCTCCTTGGGTTTCTGAGGAGGTATCTCTATGGAAGTAGACTGCCTAATCTTTCTGGGGAGCTCTGGTAGCATAGTGCCTAAGGCACTTGATTGCTAACCAGAAGGCTGGCGGTTCAAACCCACCAGCCACTCCTCCGAAGGAAGGTTGGGCATTCCTACTTCCATAGTGATACTGCCTCGGAAACCCAAGGAGGGGTCGTTATGAGTCAGGGCCGACTCGATGGCAAATAACAACAACAACAATCTTCTTTCTGAGGAGTGGCTGGTGGGTTTGAACCGCCAGCCTTCTAGTTAGAAGTCAAATGTCTCAGGTACTATGCCACCAGAGCCCCCAGCGACCCTATACATACCCCTTTTTCGGACACTGATCAACTGACCTGCTGCTCTTATTCTCAGTATCAACTATCTCATACTGCTTTCTTTCCCCAACTTGCTGTAATGTCTCCTCATTGACTCCCCTAACCACTTCCAACACTGACTGCTGCCCCCCTCCACTCACTGGCCAACTAATCCAGTTAATCTAACTAATCCCCCCACTCACTGATTCCCCAGTATTAACAAGTCCTTCAAACCCTCACAAGACGGTACACTTGGTAACATGTTTTCTTTGAACCCCCAGTGATTTCCCACTGCATGACTGCCTGAGATCCATTTTCTCCTCACACTACCCTCTCCCCAGGCTCATCTCTCCACTATAACCACTTCCCTTCTTTAAGCTGACTCCGACCACTGTTGACTCCACTGCCACCCCTCCTCACACAGACTCCCTCATCCTGACCCTCTATCCTACTGATTTCGCTCTCACTCTCCTCATGCAGAACCCCTCACCTTGGTCCTGCCTTTTTTTTTTTTTTTTAATTTTTTAAATTTTACCCTAGTTTTCCTCTTGCAGACCCACACACATTCATCTCTTCTCTAGCTGACTCCCTCCTGTCTTCTCACACAGCTCCTGGTCACGAATACCGCCCGGAAACGACCCGACGACAATGGATTTAGGTATGCCGACTTTGCCCGCCCCCTCCTTCTCCTTCTCATTCTCCCTTCGTTGACATTGAGGACTCTCCGCAGGGCCTCTTTCCGAAACTGCCCCCACCCGGAACTGACTGCGGCTCTCGGCACTAGCCGAGCCCCCTCCACCAAGCCC